GGTTTAGGGTTTAGGGTTCTGTTTCCCCTGGTAAGGTCTCCATGGACCAGGCGATTCAGGAAACCAGAGCCCACTATGGGCTGGACAAGCCGAAACGGTCCTGACTTCTCAAATCCGCGCTCTGCTTGGGTCTAAGGTTAGAAGTATGGGCNNCTTAGGCCTTTCTGGGGACCCTAAAGGGTACATATAGGGTATATAGTAAGTGTATAGTATAAGGATCCCAGGGTTAAGGGCCCATACTAAACCCCAAACCCTAAACCCTAAACCTAGGGGCCCATGGTTTCAACCTTGGATTGGGGGTTTTGTCGCGCTTTGTTTCCAGTGAAGTTCCAGGGTCGACCTGGGCTCGAAAAAACCTGCCTTTTTAGGGTTCCTTACTAGGGTTTCTTGACATACATCCTTAAAGACGTAGGTTCTTTGGGGTTGAGGTAGGGTACAGAAATTTAGTGTGTATTTTGGTGTTTCGGGGTTTAGGGTTTGGGATGTAGGATCTCGACTAGGGTCTCGGGTCTAGGCCAGGGTCTGGGGGCAAGTAATGTCGCGCTTTTTTGGGTTTGGCCTCAGGGGGTTTGGTTTGCGCGCCTGCCGACTTCTGTTTGCAGATTTCGGGGATCTAGGTCGCGCCCCTAAACCCTAAACCCAAAAGGATTGAGGAGTTGGGTGCGCTGCTAGGGGCTCGAAGCCCCCAAAACACCCCACACCTCCTCAAATATACATCCTAAGGCAGAAACCTTACATCCTGAACCCTGACCCAACTGCCAATGCCACAAACCCAGAACCGCAAATCCCAAACCCAAAACCCTAAACCTAAACCCTAAGTCGTAAACCCCAAATCCCAAACCCTAAACCGTAAACCCTCAAACACAGCACCTGCAGTCCGATAGCCGTCCAAACGCCCTGTGAACCCCAGACGCTCCAAAGCCATACTCCCGCCCGGTTCAGGGTTCAGGGTTTAGGGTTCAGGGTTTAGGGTCGACAGTAAACCTCAAAAAGTTGGAATCCGGATTAAGGTCAAATAGTGCTGGGATTCCCTATACATTACTCTGTAGGATTGAGGCTATTGGGTTTCCAACTTTTGGGCTAACTTGCTGAGGGGCTTTATCAGGTTCAGGTTTCAGCGTTTAGGGTCTAGGGTTCAGGGTTCAGGCTTAATTACTGGGTGCTTGCTAGGGGGCTTCATCTCAGTCACCTGCAAGAAGGACCGCCTATCATTTGCCACGTGCTTCCGATAAGTGAAAGAGCCCTTCGCAACCTAAGCCGCAACTCCAAACCCTGAGCCCTAAACCCTAAACCTAAGTACCGACAGGAATAGGTGCCACTAGATTTTAAAACAAAACTAAATACCCGCGCCCCTAAACCTAAGCCCTAAACCCTAAACCCTAAACCCTCAACCCTAAATCCTAAACCTTGCAACCAGTTTGGGGCTTGGTGGTCGGAGTTGTGGCAGGCCTGGGTCTCGAGCATTGAGACGGTGAAGAGTGGCCTACAGGCGACACTGATCATCAAGTCGCCTGCCTAGTAGTAGGGCTTAGGGTTTAGGGTTTAGGGTTTATTGTTTAGGGCTTTGGGTTTAGGGTTTAGGGTTTAGGGTTTCGGGCTTATGGGTTTAAAGGGTTTGGGGCTTACTTTTAAGGAATAATAATGGTAACAAGTTGCTATAGGGGCCTCAATAATTACCTATATTGTTTTGGGGTTCCTCATTATAGTTCTGGTATAATGGGCCCCAAAACCCTATTCTGATTTTTAAGGCCCCTTTATATTGGCGAAGGATCAAAAATTGGGTTACCTACCTATAGTCTCCATTGTAGTTCCGTTTAACCAGTCATATATTATGGATTGTATAAGGTATCCCCGAAAGGAACTAGAATGGAGACTGTAGGTAACAGTTAGATTTGCGGGTTCTGGCCCCCGAGCCTATTCGAACTTTTCGGCTACATGCTACATCCGGAGAACGTGGGCCCAAACACCCTAAGCGCGGGGTGCCTTGGGACGTCTGTAATGACAACTCTTGCCCGGCATAGGACGTAGTGCAAAAGGCTCGAATACCAAAATAGACTGCAGTAGTTTCTACTATGTACATATACCAAAGCATCGTATACTGATACTGCGTGATATATTTTTTTTACTGCATTACTGCATATATATATATATATAGGAGATCATATACGATAAATATTTCTGTAATAAAGTCTGTGGGGTCCACCGGGCGCAGGAAATCCTAAGCCCTAGCATAGCTTGAACCCCAAATGACGCCCTAAACTGGCCCTAACACCCTAAATCGCTAAACCCTCCTAAACCCTAAACCCTAAACCCTAAACCCTAAACCCTAAACCCTAAACCCTAAACCCTAAACCCTAAACCTAAAATCCACAGGCAAGCCGATGAATGAGCCTTCTGACGCCCTGAGGTCGCCGATGATGTGCCTCTCTTCTTGGCACTCTTGAAGGACCTCTTCCTCAAGGTGGGTTTAGGAGTTTTTAGGGCTTAGGGATGTAATCCCTAAACCCCTAAACCCCTAAACCCCTAAACCCCCACACCATGAGCCCTAGCCTTTTAGGTCTCCCTTTCAGCGCTTAGGGTTCCCCCCCCATTTCGGGGCTCGGTCTCGGGCTGGCAGGCTGTTGGGTCTTGGGCTTGAGAAGGGGTTTAGGGTTTAGGGGTTTAGGGGTTAGGGGTTTAGGGGTTTAGGGTTTAGAGGTTTAGGGGTTTAGGGGTTGAGGGTTTAGAGGTTTAGGGGTTTAGGGGTTTAGGGTTTAGGGTTTAGGGGTTTAGGGGTTTAGGGTTTAGGGTTTCTTGTTCACACCATCTTGGGCTTCGGGTATGGAGTCTAAGCCGCCATGATCATTAACAAGTCTTCGGGTAGCTATGCCGGACAAGCCCACACACCTGCACTGCTACCGTTGCTCTGTGCACCCTCCTTGATATTCTGATTGGCATCGTACTATAGGGGCCGAAATACTTACATGTACTATTTTTTTTTGGAGGGGGGGTCCTTATTATAACTATAGTATAATGTGCCCCAAAACCCTATTCTACTTATTGAGGCTCCTACATTATCCAAAGTTCGCTTTGGGAGCAGGAGCACGGACAACGGGAGAGCAGGGGGCTGCAAAGCCAAGCTCTCAAAAAGGGAGCATAAACCTTGTCGTGCTCGCTGAGCTGACTTGGATCGGAGTTTGAGGTGCAGACCCTGTAAGGGTAGTACTGGACGCTGTTGCTGCCTGCTGGAGTCAAAGGTGCATTGCAGCTAAAAAAACCCTAAGCCCCTAAACCCTAAACCCTAAACCCTAAAACCCTAAAGCCCTAAACCCTAAGCCCCTAAACCCTAAGCCCCTAAACCCTAAACTAAACCCTAAACAGCTGCCCCAAGTGACCGATCTCCCAGCTCGTCGCCGGCCAAAAGGATGATATGTCCAGGGCAGTCTCTGGGTAAGGATTTACCTATAGTCTCCATTTTTGGGTTTAGGAGTTTAGGGGTTAGGAGTTTAGGGGTTTAGGGTTTAGGGTTTAGGGTTTTAGTGTTTAGGGTTTTAGGGTTTAGGGTTTAGGGCTTATAGTCTCCATTGTAGTTCCTTTTTTTTGGATTAACCAATTATATATTGTCCCCAAAAAGGAACTACAATGGAGACTATAGGTAGGGTCGAACCCCAAACCCTCTTGGAATGATTCAGGGTTTAGGGCGTTAGGGCTTTAAGGTTTAGGCCCCTATGCTGGGATTTGTGAAATTGGTACAAGAGTGGAAGGGCGGGAACGGCGAGCTGGTTCTCCTCATACAGGATGCCGTCCCCCATCTGACGATGCAAATTATGCGGACATTCGGCACCGTGCTTGTCCAAGCGCCATGTTAACGCATCATTTCCCCATCCATCAGGTTTGTAGGGTCTCGACCCCTTCGCAAGTGTCAGAAACCGGAAAGGTGAAATCCGAAATCCGCAGAAATTTTTCCGAAACCCTTAGCCCTGATCGCGAAAGGTGACGGATCCGCCGAAGAAAGTCTACAAGAACGTGGAGGATGGATCGCGTGCGCAGAGCTCAGCGGCCTTTGCGTGTTTCTAGGCGTTCGGGGTTCAGAGTCTGGGTGTATCGCAAATGTATTTTTTGTGTCTGGGTCTAAGGCCTGGGGATTATAGTAGCTTGGTCGTTGTTAGCCTTTACGGCTTTGGGTGTAGGGCCTGGGTGTGTGGTTCGGGTCTGGCAGGGCTGTTTGTAAAGGTAGCGCCGCATCGGGTTCTAGAGGGTTTTAGTGTGTTTAGGGCTTCCGAAACATAGGGAATCCACATCCTGCAGGTCCGTAAAATATCGAGAAGGCTCTGCAGGGTTTTGGGGTAAAATCTAGATAGTGACCCTTAGGGCTTGGGGTAAAGTGTCGATAATGTTCTTGTGGCTTCGGGTGTAAAATATCGATAATGTTCTTCAGGGTTTGAGGATGTTTGGGGTTTCGGGTTGTATATGCCGACACCTTGGTTTATCATCGCAGAAACCAGTGTGTTTGTGTTTATGTGTATATATATATATGACATCTCTGACATCTATTTGTCCTTTTGAATGTCTATCCATGCATACATCCAGCCAGCCGGCCGGCCATCCAGCCATCGATCTACCTTTCTATCTGTCTGTCTGTCTGTCTGCCTATCTACCTATCTATCTATCTATCTATCTATCTAGCTCCCTATCTATCTATGTATCTATCTATCTATCTATCTATCTATCTGACTGACTACCTACCTACCTACCTACCTACCTACCTACCGACCGACCGACCGACCGACCTACCTACCTACCTACCTGCCTACCTACCTACCCACCTACCTACCAACCTATCTACCTAGCTACCTACCTACCTACCTACCTACCTACCTACCTACCTACCTATCTATATCCGGCTGGCTATCTATCTATTTGTTTATCTATCTATCTATCTATCTATCTATCTATCTGTCTATCTATCTATCTATCTATCTGTCTATCTATCTATCTATCTATCTATCTATTTATCTATATCTTTGTATGTATGTATGTATGTATGTATGCATGTATGTATGTATCTATCTATCTATCTATCTATCTATCTATCTATCTATCTCTCTCTCTCTCTCTCTGTTGC